ACAGGTTTCTTGGTGTTTATCAACTTGTATTGTGTTAAATATGGAGCTATTGCACTTCAGGAGATTTTTGACAGCATCCAGCCAAAGTAAGTGTACTTTCTGAAGAACATTTATATGTCTGACTGCTGTTACTTAGAGGGTTCATACAGCAGTGTTGTGTGTCAGCAGCAGGAACATGACAAGTCGATTTGACCTTAACCACACAAAAGAATCATTGACTGGCAGTCCCTTTCATGCCCCACTTAAAAGATTTAAACCTGGTCTACTCACTGCAAAGAAGTCTAACATTCCAGAAATAGAGAGGAGTACCTCAGCCAGAGCTTTATCACACACTGGGCTCCTTAAAGCTTTAAAGGTGGCACTTTGTGGAGGATGAAAGCTGCAGTCAGCAGTTACAATGGATTTCAGAGGTGACCCAGTTTAACAGTGGAAAAAGAAGGTGTTTCTAAACATTATACAAGTTTTTTCATTAAGTATAATAAGGTGATCTATAGCAATATTTCATGGAGAAGATGGTAAACGGAGAAAGATGTACTGATTGTTAGTCACATAGGTTAAGGGCAAACTTCACTGTAAAACAAACCATGTACCCAGCGGCATCCTCAGGTATTGAAAAATGTTGCCAATGCCAAAAAAAAAGACTGCGGGTCCTCAAGTGTCCGTAAGGTTGGCTCCAAATGCCCAGGAAGTCTGATTAACATGTTAGAATGCTCATTGTTACAGTCTGGTCTCATTACTTTTTTGGTACACACTGTAGGGTGGGTACGTTATTTTTTTTATTTTTTTTTTTACAACTCATCCATTTTGATTATGTTAAGGCGTACATACATTTTATTTAATTAAGGGCTTGTCTGATTTGACTGAAAGGTGGGCGTATTGTAACTGTTAACCTGGAGGCCTGAGGCCCACCTTAACGCTAACATTTCTTGATTGGTGGAATGGTAGAGATATATTGTTCCTCCTCAGAAACCAATGGGTCAATGTCATTGTTTTATACAGTCTATTGTATATGCTTTGGCAAAGGGAGTGTTGGCTCCTTTGAACATGGAGATCAATGCAGATCGTTTGCTCCTGCCTGCTGTATTCCTCGCTCCTATAGTTCCTCATTTGACTGCTCATCAGTGTATTTAATGTTAGTGTATTTACTACTACAATGAAAATGTCCAATAGTAATTCTCCTTTCCTTTTCGTCTTGCAGAATGTTTGGTATGGTGTTGGAGAAAATAATAATTCCAGAGGTTCAAAAGGTTTCTGGACCAGTAGAAAAGAAAATCTGTGCTGTCGGTATTACAAAAATCCTGACTGAATGTCCTTCCATGATGGACACGGAGTACACCAAACTCTGGTGAGTTTAGTCTAGTACTTGTCATCTGTCATTCTGTCATAACATTTTCATCATACAGGGTTCCTTAAAGTATGTTGAACGGAGCTCATTGGAAACTTGGAAAATGTGGGGAGGGCAGGGCTGCAACTGGACTTTTGTATAGCAGGTGCTCATCGCACGTTTGAAGGGGTTGCGTGGGCAGTTTAGGGAGTATTTTGGAGAGGAGACCTTGGCAAATCTGTGAGTGAAAAATCAATTGTCTTTCCCTATGACACCCTGTGATGGAGTGATGCAGCAAATATTATGTTCATTCAGGGGAGGCTCACTTTCCCACTCCTTGAACAGTCCCTCCAGGATTTTGCAGACTTTTTGGGGGATTGTTGCGGCCTAATTGAATGTCTACGGCCTACGAAAATGCCTGATTTTGCAGCTTTTAAAAAACACTGCAATGCTTTTAGATGTTTTTTTGCAATTAAATTGCAGCAGCAAGTGAAAATTGCAACACTAGTTGCGATTTATTTATTTATTTTTTTAATTAAAAAAAAAAAATTGAGACTTTTTATTATTAAACTTTTTTCTTAGACACACTTCGATGTGATTGAGTGATGACTATTTTTAACTTGAGCCATTATCTTTGTGAAGTTGCATATTCCTCTGCCTCATTCAGTGACATCTCTCTCACACACACACGCTTCATCTGATCTATTTTCATTAATACACGCACACACACACACACACACACACACACACACACACACCGTTTGTATTGCAATCAGACAAGCTATCTATGCATATTTATCTAACTCTCCTTGCTTCTTTCAGCACTTGTAATCGATCATCTAGATGCAGCAGCCTCTGTCACTGTGATTTGTCTTGTATGTTGTCTGCGTGTTTTAGTCGTTCTCCTGGTGTGTTTTGCGGTAGATCGATGACTTTCATTTGTGTCTCACCACAACGCTGCATGGGGTGCCAAAACGTTTACCCCTGCTTCCATGCAGAACAACTGGGAATTGCCTTGCATGGTCCTTAGCTGTAGTTTTTGTAGGTAAATGTGTGACGTTTGTGTCAGACATGTCGGCATCTAAGATAATCCTTTATTTATCCCACAATGGGGAAATTTACAGTATATGTATCTTATCTGCGTATGTAAACAAGGAAGTGAGTTAAACTTTGGTGACGTATGGCTCGCCGTTGTCGTGGGGGACTGCTATGATTGGTGAAACTCCCAGGGGAAACTATTTTGATTGGTCAAAGTTGCAGAAAAGGTTGTGTTGATTGGGAAAAAATTGCGAGGTCGCCCAGAATTCACGGGATTGGTTGAATTTTCGTTAATTGTTGCGATCGCGACATCACAACTTCCTGGAGGCACTGCTTGAAAACCCCTGCTTAATCTGACCTGGCCTCTACAGCCCGTCTGTCCTCTTTGTAGGCTACACAACTGTGCAAACTTCTGCTGTCTTTCCTTTGACAGCATTGTAAACAATAGTGTAAATGAGTGTGCCATACAGAATGTTATGGTGGAACGCCCTCGGTATGCTAGTCTGTAATAATGAACGACGGCCTTCAGATTGTTTAAGTCATTGTGCAAAAAAACATTGATCTCTTGTCTAGTATATCCTTTAGAATGCAGTTTCATGGTTCCAGTCCCTGCAAAATGTCTTGCATAGGAGCAAGGGTGTTGATTTAATTTGTTGTTGTGCGTTAAACTTAAGACCATTAATTTCAGTCTGAATGTGTCTTTTCAGGACCCCTCTGCTTCAGGCTCTCATTGGTCTGTTTGAGTTGCCAGAAGACGACAGCATCCCAGACGATGAGCACTTCATCGACATTGAAGACACACCTGGCTATCAGACAGCATTCTCACAACTGGCCTTTGCAGGGAAGAAGGAGCACGACCCAATTGGAGACGCTGTCGGCAATCCAAAGATCCTTCTGGCTCAGTCTCTCCACAAGCTGTCTACGGCTTGTCCAGGACGGGTAGGTTTAGATGTTTTTAACAAGCTATGCTAAAACTAGTGAACTGAGTGCATGTTTTTTTTTTTACTAGAACTAAAATTCAGAGTGTTGGGAAAAACACATTACTAAGTAACGCAGCTACTATTTGAGGTAACTGTCAATGAATTTGTTACTTTCCGGATTCAATAACGCGCTACAATGACTGACATTTAAAAGCACACGCTACTCGTTACAGCTGACAACAAGCAGGCGAGGTGACGCTATGGTTAGCATGATAGCATCCTGGGAGAAAAGAACATCTCACAGTAAACAAACAGAAAGGTGATCATTCAGCTGTGAGTTTTCTGTCCAGGAAACACCGACATTATTTTCCCCTGGTCGAGTTAAACGAGAAGAATATAGTTAATGCGCAGGAATGAAAACTTCAACAAAGCACCGAGCTAAACAACAAAATGCGTCCAGAGAGCCCTGTGCTGCAGATACAGTTAAAGGCTTTATGTGATTTTTTTTGATCCAGCAGATGTCACCCTTGAGCACCAGCATGAAACCAAAACAACTCATGCTGGATTGTTGTGTTAGCATGCTAATGCTAGCGATTTATTATGCTCGTATCTTCACACTGCATGTAAATGTACCTGAAATGAGCGTGATCTAGAAACACAGTTAAGCAGTGAGTACAGTATGTTATTCTTCTTTTCTCTAGTCCCTCAATTAAACAACTTTTATACGTGAGGGGAGGAGTCAGCCGGCCGTCCCGACGATGTAAACAAACTGAAGATAGGACTCTGAAAACATCACAGACAGTGGGACTCAGGTGTTACACCCATTGTAGACAGTCATGACTCAGAGTTATTTTCAGAGGAGATACTTGATTTCTATTACATTTAAGTGTGAAAAATCACATATTAAGACTTTAACTCTGCAGACCAAGGAGGAGACTCTCCATCCAAACAGCCAGCTTGATTTAAAACACCACCTGCTCCACTATCTGTAAGCCTTACTAATAGAATGATAGACATATCAACTGTTGAGTCTGTGGCCTTCAGAGATCTAATTGGTAGAATACCTACATATTGAAAATGACTACAGCGATATTTGAAATGTGAGAGTTGACGCAGCACAATTCTGCCACGGTAAAACAAAATAATGTGAACATTAATAAGAGGATTGAAAGGGGAAAAAGTAACAAGTGGGTAGTTTGTCACTTTCTGATAGTAGTAACTATTAACTGTGACCAGTTACTATTTTTTTAGTAAAGTACCCAACACTGCTGCCTGGTGGATTAGAACTGTATTTCTGCTACAGATGATGGGACAACAAAGAAAGCAAATCAATGATTCCTGTTTCATGTTTTTTTTAAACGCAGGTTCCATCAATGCTGACCACCAGTCTGAATGCAGAAGCCCTCCAGTACCTGCAGGGATATTTACAAGCAGCCACTGTGCAGCTGGTTTGAAACTGATTCAACAATGATCACATTTAAAAAAGAAAAAAAAGAAAAAGAGACCTCCATATGTCGCAGAAGAAGCCACAGTGACCTCAGGTCACTTGACAGACCCGCTTCAGCTGAACTTAACAGATGGATTTACCGGAGGAGCTGTGATTTGGCCTGAGTTGAAGGTGTGATGTCTAATGAAAGGGTTTTTTTTTTTTTTTTTTTTTTAAGGATTTTTAGAGACATGAACAAAGGCTGACTTAACATTTGCTGTATTGCATTAGAGCCTTTTGTTTGCTGTGTGGCGAGACAAAGAAAGGATTTGGATATCAACGTACATACAATCAGTTTATTTCAATAACCGCAGCAGAGCTACATTTGGGCAGTATTGTGGAAGATCTGAATCACATGGGAGGGATTTCTTTAGCGCTTCTTTTGTATGTTTGAATTCCTTTTTATGATAATTAGGTCTGTGGTTCAGACATAATGCTTAATCCTTTTTTTCTGTTGCATGTTTCCTGTAGGTTTATTCATGTCTGGTCTTTGTTTCTGCACTGTTTGTCCATGTGAATAAAAAGAGGCACTTGTATAGATCTGTTATCTTTGCAGTCTCTTTCCTCTGTGTGGTATTAACATGAAGATATCTGGCTTTGTGCATCTGACTTTTGACCTCTAGTTTATAGGTAAATCAATAAGAGGAAATTCTGTTGAATAAGATGTAGTTTTTAAGATGTGATCATTTAAAACTCCAAAATGACAATATGCGTGCAATACAACATTCGAGGGAACACATCAACCATTAACAGTCCCTCTTCAGAGTGTAGGCTTTCCCTTCAGATGACAAAATCATGTAAAAATACAGTGTTAGCCTTTGGTGTCCGTGTAGGTCCAGAAATGAATAAGATTAAAAGTTTTCAGGAGGATTTGATGAGGCCATTGGAGGTCTTCAGTTCAACATTCTTGATGAAGGGTAGCATGCATTTGTCACCTCCCATGAAGCGATAGGTTGCCACATTTGCATCCCAAGGAAGTAATCTAGAAGAGAGGTTAAAATGGGAATTGTTTTATTTCTCATGAATAATATAGTCTTAGCAGTACCTCTGTAGTGGGTGTAAGAGTGTATACTGTATGTAAAGAACACAAGGATCAATACTCACGCTCGTGTGAGGAAGGGGATGTACATAAGGCGAGGAATGCAGATCATCTGCTGTTCACCTAAAATGGCTTTCATAGACTGCTGTACAGTGTAGAGAGGCTCCAGAGGTGGAATCAAAGTCTGAATCTCCTTCCTGTTTGATGTAATCAAAAAAGATATATAAAATATCTATCCCCATCTCCCCCTTAATGTTACAACCAGAAATACAGTGTGGCATCTCACCTGATTTCGCAGCCTGCAAACATCCCTGTGTCTACAATATAAGGGCAGACCAAAGTGGTTTTGATACCATCCAGGTTCTCTGCTAGCAGCTCATGTGTCAGTGACTCGTGGAAACCAACAGCTCCATATTTACTAGCACAGTAATCCTGTAAGAAGAGAGGAAGCAACATCAACAGAGTGATCTGGATTCTCTTTTCTAGGATTTCTTTTTACTGAGGAACTCTTCAAACATTGATCTTACCTCCACACATGCAGTGCTGAAGAGCCCGAGAGCGCTGGCAACAGTTACTATGTGGCCGCAGTTTTTTGCTTTCATTTGAGGCAGGAAGGCCTTTGTCATCTGTTGGACGGGATTAGATCAGTAAAACAATTTGAGTGCCTTTTATAGAAATAGGGAAGAAATGTTAAGTATCAGTATGCTTTCAAAAACATTTGATGGAATTGAAATCCAATAAGAAGACAGCCAGTGATGTAATGTCTCTAGTTGAAACCTTAGACTGTAGAGTGTAGATAATAAGGGTTGAAACAGACACTTGCAGAATAGTTTGCCTTAAATCTAAACTCATTGTAAATGACTTTTGCTTACATATACATCTATTAACATTAACAGCAGGTTCCTTCTTGAGTCAGTCAGATTGCTTGTGGTGTCATAGTCAAGGGTGGATAACCAATAGGATCCCTGACCCCTCAGCGACATCCCAGTTAGTTTGTTATGATTTGACTTGTTTTCGTTTGGTTCATCTGTTTTTTATGCAGTGTCTTGTAAAGAGGGATTAGGCCTATTCAAACCCCTCTGTCCCAGCACTTTAGTTATGAAATGTATTTATGGAATACTAAACTGTAATATAAGGTGAGTTTGATCTTGTCTATAGTCTTCGGCCTGATCTGTGGGACAACAAAAACATTCAGGTTTCTACTCCAGTAGTCACTGAAATGTCACGTTTTTATAAATACAATCACTTTTTGACAAGTAGATGATTATAGACTGCGTTACTTTGATCATTTCTGAGGGAAAGCAGATGCAGTCGAGGACCACCGACCACTAGCCCCGGCAATGAGGATGTAAAACGGGGGATGACATTGTGATACCAATAAGGCAGTGAAGAACAGTAATAGGAGGACCACCTGGACCATCTGCAATATTTCAGTAAGTTAGCCTGCTAAGCTAAAGCTACTTCTGTCATGTGCTGTTTGCCTCCCTTGGGTTGACTAGCATTAGCACAGATGGCGGGAAGCTGCCCAATGGAAGGAGTTTTGTATTATGGCAGGTGACTGAATTACCATATCCTTTCTGCTCACAGATGAAGTAGCTATTGCAAAATCACGAAATGTCTTTGTGGTGACTTTGATTTGGATTGGTTGTTACACAGGCCTACATCTTTTTGCAGAATAAACTGTGCCCACTTCCACATTTCTTAATGTGCATTTCACTTCCATACCTGGTAGGCCTTTGTTATTTTATTTTTTTTGTTTATTTACCTCTCCTGATACAACTCTCTAGCGCCACTAATGCATAGGCCTAGTGCTTTTTAGAGGAAAGTCAAAACAGTTTTACCCTCATGCCCTTGTTAAGAAGGACCTGGGGAAGTTGCCAACTAACTGAGCCATTATCCTTTTTTGCAATTAGGGTCAGCAGGTTTTCATGGGCGGTTCTAGGCAGGGGCCAACAGCGGGTCTATCAGCTTGGTCCCCCCTGTGGCCACCCCTCCAAAAGGAAGAGCACATATGGTAACTCAACAACCGGACTCACAATCTAGTATTAAAAACTGTTACTGAAACAAATATAAATCATAGTATTTAATGATGTGCACTATTAATTGGCATAATATATATATTTTAAAGCTTTGTGTTATTTTCACCTGGGTTTAATGTTCCCCTCTGACAAAACAACTGGCTCCAGTTTGGCCCCCTCAGGAAAAGTGGTCTAGAACCGCCACTGCAGATTTTATTTTTGAAAATGAACACCAGCCCACTATAGGCTATGTTGTTGATATCAGTCATAAAGATGATAAGCTTCCCCTTATTTATTATATGAGCATTATGGAACTAAGACTTTTAAGAGGCTCAAGGGCAGTCACGTGCTGTTTTAACCGGTGGGCTTGCGTGAGCTCCTGTTATTTAGTGAATTAGTGGACGACCACCTGCTTGTGAACACATTGAACAGGCACAGGGACAGACTGCAGGTTGAGTGTGATGCACCAGCTCACATCTGATCCCTTCACACATCAGTGCACAAATACTAAGCTGACAAAGGGGGGGAGTTATATAATTCATGTCAGGCTGCTGAGTTTGACTCTGTAAGAAGCAGATATAGAGCTTTTTTACAGATTCAGTTGGTTATGCGTAAAACAGCGTGCGTCTACGTCTTACCCAAAACAGCGCGTGGCAGTTCACGAGCAGAGTCCTCTCAAGGAGCTCGTCCGGACAGTCCAGCAGCCTCCGGCCGGCCACCACGCCCGCGTTGTTCACTAGTATGGACACCTCTCCCACCTCGGCCCTCACCAGGTCCGCCGCCTGGTAGATGCTATGACGCTTGGACAGGTCCACCGTGTACGCGTGCACCTTCACTCCCAGCTCGCGCGCCAGCTCGGCGGTCCGCTCGTTGGCAGCCGTGTTACAGTCCCACAGCACCAGATGGGCCCCCTCTTTGGCGAACTCCAGGGCGAACAGGCGACCCAGGGCGCCCCCGGCCCCTGTTATCAGACACAGCTCCCCGTCTATGCACTTCAGTCGCGGCCGCAGAAAAGTCTGGATAATAGCTGAAATGATGGAGTACGTGAGGTCTATAAGCATGAGCAGCAGGTCCACTATAACAATCATGATGCTGCAGGTGAAACTGATGAACCACACAAGTAGACCTCCAAGCTCTGGACTAGTTGTTTCTGTGAGTGGCGTGCGATTGGATGACCATTTTATATAACTTGTGTGTACCGGATTAGGAGACAGAGTGCTGCTGGCCACCAATAGAAGGGCTTTTTTTGTTGATGACCTAGGAGCAGACTGTGACGTGTGCACATTCATTACTCGAGTCAAACTGGGATTGACATAACATGCAGGCCCAGAGCCTATAGCAGGGTATATAACGTGTGTTTTATAACATAAGGATGAGAGACATCAGACAGAAGAGACCCCAACATATGGTTGTGTGGTTACCTAAACAGGTGAGCAAGTTAAGATACTTAAATTCAAACATTTTCTTCCACTAAACCATCAGTTATTTCTTCATGTGTATGCATAAACATTATCATTTTGCGGCATTTTACCAATTTCCAGTCAGTTTCCCAATTTTAAGAAGATGTTACTAGAAAACACTTTTTAAGTGTTATGAAAATTTGTTATGAAATGGCACCATAGAAATACAATTAAGATTGATTGTGATTAAAGGGACTTTGGTTGGCAGTGAACACACAACACACACACGCGCGCACACACACGCGCGCACACACACACACACACACACACACACACACACACACACACACACACACACAAAAACTTCCATATCTGCTGGGAGAAAAACAAACTAGTGAAATTATAGTTGCAAAATTCATCACAGACAACCACATACACACACATTTAATTTAATTGATTTTGATTGAACTCTGAGCCAGCCTATAGGCAGTCTTTAAGACCTACCTTAGTGAAGAAGAATCAAATTAACATTAAATCATGTTTAACAGTTTTTATTGTTGAAAATAATCTGAAATTGATTATATCTCTTACTACATTAACATTTGTGCTTTTATTGAGCCTAACATCTGGAGGTGCAGTAATATTTAGTTTACAGTTATAGTCTGTAAAGCACATGCTCCTTTCTTACACTTTTCTTCTTCTTCATAAAACACTTTCATACTGCTAAAGATCAAAATCATTGTTCTTTCACTCTGAGCTTATGTAAGAAATTCTCCCAAGCCACAGTTAACAGTGAATTCCTTTTACACAAGTGTATCTTTAAGTCGACATTCCTTTCATCCGTTAAAGACAGTGATTCCTGATCCATGATTTGAGGGGGATTAAAATGTTAAGGTGATAAACCTTGAGCATGTGTGCACAAATCCCTGATATACATTCTTCTTTCATTTTCTTCTTTTAACATGTTCTCTCTTTCTTCTGTAGTTTACATCTGACATCTCACTTAAATATTAGAATATGCAACTACACCTGTGAGCCCTGCTTCAGTGGTTTTGCTTTGTTGCTGCTGCACCTGCAGATGTTGTTCCAGGTGAGAGTTAAGACTGTTTTTGTCTCGTGAAAAGCTTGTAGTGGTGACTGGCATTGACTGTGATGTAATCCTCTTCAGAATTTTGCTCATGACGAAGGTGTGACGTAATGAAACATAACAAACTGGAATGTGCTTCATGTTTTGGATGAACCTTTTGCTATTATTAACTGCTACTGAGGATTACAAACATGCCGAGGACCAGAAATAGAAACCATCTAATGAGATTATTAAAGTATGACACAGTGTTATGAATATGGATGATGGTCAGTGGTCAGTATGTGATGTAACCAGCTGTCATAGTGTACATATCCCTTAGATAGAACCCAAATCCTTATTCAATGAATGAGTTGATCACCTGATAACTTTAAACTAAAAACAGTTAAGCTGCTTCTTTCTATTTCAAATAATTCATGTAGAGTATTTCATGTTTTTCAGATGGTTCATTAAGCTAAAAAAAACTACACAGGATGATGATTTTTCTTAATAAAAACATTTAAATCTACATTAGTGCTCTGTATTTTATATTTAACATGCGCATGCCACTAAGGGGTGCTGTTGTATCAGACATCCAGTTTCCCATCCACAACAACACCGTCATTGCACAATCTCCCTTCAGGCTCTTTTCATTGCCTCAACATGAATGAAAAACACACACAACCGGTAATAAAGTGAGGCTTGAAGCACCGACTCTGGATTATTGGCTTTTATTAAGCATCAGTCAGTAAAAGGAGGAAATATCTCCAGAATCTCTGATCACAGACTTTGTCCTAAAGCTTCTTACTGTAGATAGTATTTACAAGTCCTGTGTCACAAAGTTTAATAGCGCTACATGCATTCAACAACAAGGAACCACAAAGATCATATTCAACAAAGTCAACTGGTACAAAGTATGAAACTTTACAAAACATACATTTCCCCAGACATGGTGTGGGCAGTGTGCAGACCAGTGAGAGCTGAGTGGAGGTGATGATTCCCTGAAGAAAGGGGACAGATTCAGAAAATTCTACAATGTGTCTGCATTGGCTTTAACCTCTGTCATGGCTTATTGTGCTTAAAGAAAATGACATTGAATCTTGTGCTTTTGGAAATTGATATAAAACCAAAATGTACCTTTGTATGTAGACAGTTTATTTGCATGGTCAATAAAGTGCAGTTTAAATAATAATATAATAATGATGATAATTAAAGAAAAGAAAGATTATTAACATTCTTCAATCAGAAAAAGAGTAATGACCATTTTAGTATGGCTTGTATAAAGGAAGTGAGTCCACCATGATGAGAGGCTGAATTCCATATTTGTTAGTATTTACTGCATGTCTGACTGTTGTGTAATGAATGTTAATGAATCTGCACTTTTCACTGTGAAACTAATCCTCCTTTTTAAATTTTCTTAGCTTTTCTTTTTTTTTTTCCATAATGGTGAAAGTCATGTCGTTGTTTGTCAGTTTGACATTTGTTATCCCATCACCACGCAGCGTTCAGAGCACGACTGCAACAAATCCCACACACCAATGACTTATGATTCTTTTGGTTTCAAAGTTAGTTGCTGAGGACTCCACGTGACCACGTCTGCCCAAAGACTTTGCTGTAACTGAGCCTTTTTCCTGCTGGCCTAGTCTCTCCCTTTGCATGCCCAGGATGATATTTATAGAACTTCAGAAATGAAGGAAAAAAAAATCCTCAAACAGATGCCTAAACCCAAAGTGACATTTTTTGCACTGTCATTCTGCAAAAAGGGACCATAATGGAAAACACACACATTTAAGTTCTGTGTTCATAATCAGTCTGTATATCTCGTGGACAAGCTATGATAGCATGTTTACTGCCTGAGGAGATGCTTCGCTCTTACTTTTGTTTTTACGTAGCCTATAATGTTTGACGTGACTATCTTGTCTTTGTTTAAGAGGTCTTTGGGTTCAGGAGGAAAATGCTGCTTACGTCTGTCAGGTGTGATAAACTCTCACCTGTCACATGGGTTGTTCCTATTCCAATCACATTTCACACTCTCCCTCCACAGGAGCAGGGAGCTGAAGTGACCACACACACACACAGTCATGTTCAGTATTGCTGGGATGAGTGCAGCTCTCAATGACAATGGAAGAGGGATATAAAGGGATTATGTGACCAATCAAAAGGCCCACAATATAATAATGTCTCCTTAAGCAGACTGAAGCCACAGGTGAGGAGGTCAAATATCAGATACAAAAATGTTAATTACTGAATAAAAGCAAAATTTAAACACTTCTGCATGTCTATTTGCTATATCTTATTTGAGTCTTGAAGGCCTGTCACCATACATTAGGCTACATAATGCATAAAATTCACTCTGTACCTGTTTTTGTTGCTGTGGATTTGGGCCTTTTTCATGCAAATTTCTTGAGCGCATTTAAGTACAAGTGTTGAGGAAAGACAGGATGCGCAGAGGTGTTGGTATATACAGTCACTATCAGTCTGGCAGCTTGATGATCCACTTCATGTGCAGAGGGTTGAACCGTCATCAGACGGGACACAACAACAGATTGAGTGTGTGTGGCAGGCGTCTGTAAAAAGCAAAGGCACAGAAATATCTAACTCATTTTAGGTCTAATGATAAAAAACTGAGTACAGAGTAAATACTTAAATAAATACAAACACAAAGTAGATGCTTTGTAGCATGCTTGCGGGATATGTGATTAATTTAAGAATTTTCAAAAAAAACATGCTTGCTTGATTAGTGAGAGCACCAGATGAACAACACCCAGAGTGGTCATATGTTTGAATTTGGGTGCTTAAAGAAATACAAGATGCAGGATAGTGTGACCTACAGATATTAACGGTGCCTCCTTTAGTGTATGAGAGGCGAGCTGTACATTGCTGTGAGGTGGCTTTTATTTTGTAGGAGATGTCATGTGAATTGGTCTGTGCATAATGTTTTGGATGTCTGGAAGCAAAAACCACTTGCCAAGTTCCACAGTCTGTAAATAATCAAATTAGCTTTTCAAAATGAATGTTAAATAAAGTGCTGCTGTGTTGTCCCTTCCTTTTCCCTGTTTCCTCTCTTTTCAGCCATGTAATCAGCTTTCTCCTTCAGAGGCCAATCCTGGCATCTGTGCAATCCCCCGGCTTACATGTTTGTACCAAATGAGCATGTATGGCTCCCTGAAATACGTCAGATTCTGCTGTTAAGAAAAGGAATGCTTTTGTTTTTTTAAACATTTTCAGATAAAACAATAAAATATACTGTACCATCTTCAGAAAGAACAAGTCTTTGGTTCTTCACATTGCACAAAGGATAGAGGGACAGACATTTACAAGTAGTCGGTAGCAAACACATTTTTCTACTACAGTTTATCATCTAATGAATTAAACTCCATCAAAATAATGCAGTACTCCATATTGAAATGCAAAATATGACATTAGCACAATATATTCTTCTAAAGGTCCATTCTTTTAGAAAATATCTTAAAAATATAAAGTATCTGGATTCTTTACCTTGTACAACACATGTTGTTTTGTGTAATATTCTACTGTTGTAGAAACTTTGATTCTTCAGCGCTGTCTGTCCAGCTATAATGACACACTGTGATTTAATACAAAGTTCAGATCATCAGCTACGATAGGAATGATGACTCCTCAAGAACACCTTTGAGAAAGTTTTGAACTAACACAAGACTTTTATGATTTTCTCAGGTCAAGACTGATAACACCAAGCTACAGGACACATACTGACATTGAGAACCAATAAGAAAGATTTCTCTGCTTCTGTGTTCAGAATAAACTATTTGTCTCATGTTAAGGTGCTCTCTGTTGTCAGCAGTCGGGCACAACAGGAACAAGAAAGACATTGGTTGGATTGGTTGAACTTCTCTTTTTTTCCCCATGTAAAAACACAAAAACAAGTGAGCTAAGGCCAGTTCTAAGGAAAAAAGTTAAAGGGAGTGCCCTGAACATTTTCCAAACACACCGTTGCCTTGTAAATGAGTTTAGACTTTAAAAACATGAAAAAAAAGGAATATTGTTCCTTTACATTTCCTTAAATGCAATACAATGGTTTGCTACTGTATGGACAGATTTGCTGTAGTGGCATTCAAATAGTATCCAGGGATGTCAGAAAAATAGGGCTTGCTTGTAAAAATTATATTTTATACTTCTACAACTAGGCTATTATTATAGGGTGGTAATCTGGGTTTAAACAAATGTATTAATAGCATCCTTTGCCATTTTAAAACATCTTTGATCAGAGTCCTCTGGCAAATTCATTTATTCATGAGTCCCTGGTGGGAGAGCTCCACAATGTCCACAACAATTGTACCTCATGGGAGAACCTTATGTTTTGTAAATGTCTTCAGTGCTTTTCATATTTTTTGGGAAGATCAGTTTTGCGTCCATTGTCCTTTATGTTTCCCTTCCTGTTTTCTACTACCGTTAATGTTTCTCTTGAGGTCCTTCACTTGCACCTTTAAGCTTTATAGTGACTCTTCTCTCCCTGAAGTGCCAGTAGTTCCTGAGCCACATGGTTCTCTTGCACTGCTGCTGGCAGTGTGCTGTTCCCAAGCTTCCTCTGCAGGCCCCCCGTGTGGTTGGACCCTTGCTGGAATCCTGCGTGATGGCTAAACTTGGGGCTAGTGTTTTCCAAGAGTCTTTGAGATGGGTTGGTGCCAGAGCCGTCATGGAGGTGCTCCTCCTCATCAGTGTCAGCATCGATGAATGTATTGATAGATGAATCATGGAATGTGAATATGCTTGGTGGTAAATATTCTGGGCTCTTGCTTGGTGTCCTGCTGCTGGCAGTTGTGTAGATGGACGCCTCTGGGCTTTGGACTGACGAGCTGTCTGAGAGCACCCCTGTTCCTGAATCCTCTCTTGCTCTGAAGTTGACTTTGAGTGGGCGGCTTTTGACAGGGTTTCTGAAGTGCAGATCCCTGGGGCTGTCAGGGTAGGGACTGGATTTGTTGCTGTGTCCTGTCAGGGGTGTACTGTTACCCTGGGATCCTTCATGTTCGTTCTCCAAGGTGGGTTCCAGGCTCGGGTTGGTGCTGACCTTCCAGGGTATGTTGCCGACGAGGCTCTGGGAGTAGCGTGAGCTCTCAGGAAAGTCGGTGGCACAGCTGATGAAGCTGTCAATGCTAGACATGCTCCTCATGTCTGAAACCACCTCTGCTGGATTGAGGTGGGCTTCGGCAGGGATGCTTCCCATCTCAATTTCCGTTCTCCGCCTCGTTGCTTTGGACTGTGACCCTTTGTCCTTGTTGTTGGGGTCGGGTAGAGACCTGGTCTTGGCCATCTTGTTGTATGCCTCCTCCAGTTTATGTGCACTGAGATGCTGTGGGCTGCTTGAGGGCTTGGCTTGCTCTTGGTAGATTGGTTCGATGGTTTTGATGGGACTGCTGGGGCTCATCTGTAACTTGAGTTTGGATGTCCCTTTGGGCTGAGCATGGTTACCATGCACTTTATCGTTCTTTTCAATTGTATTTTCCACCATTACATCCAGGAGCTCTATACTGTTGCCAAATGCATCTTTAATGTTCATAGAGACAATGCTACCATTCCGTTTAGCTCTCTCCAGAGCTTCCCTTCTTTTAATGGCTTTCTCCTGCCTTTTTTGTTCTTTGTAGAACTCAGAGAAGTTATTCACGATGATGGGGATAGGCAGGGCTATCACCAGAACTCCAGCTATGCAGCACAATCCTCCAACTATCTTTCCTAGAAGAGTTTTTGGGTAGATATCTCCATAACCTACTGTTGTCATTGTAATGGTTGCCCACCAGAATGAAGCTGGGATACTTTTGAACTTGGTGTCCTCTTCGTCCTTTTCTGCAAAGAACACAAGACTGGAAAATATCATTATGCCCATGGCCAAGAAAAGGATCAGCAGGCCTAGCTCATTGTAACTCCTCCTAAGAGTGAATCCCAGAGACTGAAGACCTGTGGAGTGACGGGCCAGCTTCAATATACGCAAGATCCGCATGATCCTGAATATCTGCACTACTCGTCGGACATTCTGAAACTGCAGCACACTCTTGTTTGATTCTGTCAAAAAGATGGTGACATAGTAGGGGAGAATAGCCAGCAGATCGATTATATTTAGAGGACCCTTAAAAAACTTCCACTTGTTAGGGGAGGATAGGAAGCGCAGCAGGTACTCCATGGTAAACCAAGCGATGCATACAGCTTCCACATGAGCCAGTTGTGGGTTGTCTGTTGTTTGGCCAAACTCATCTGTGTCCTGCAGCTCTGGAAGGGTGTTCAGAGACAAGGCGATGGTGGACAACACGATGAAGAGGATGGAGATGATTGCCAGGATCTGGAAGACACAGAAGAAAACCACTATAAGAATATTGAAAAACATGTAGATCTGAGAAATTCACCACAGCTATGTATTCCCATCATGTACCATGTTTTAGGGATTGCAGTGTTGATTTGTCCAAAATGGAAATGAGTTCAGGCTGTTTGGAAGTTATTTTTTTGATGGATTACGTGGAATGTTTTAAAAAGTTCAAAGATGACAATGACTCACTGAGACCTTTCATCAAGTGGGACCATGAGGTTCACATTTGAGGTTTTCAGTGAAAAATCTACAACTAGTAGTTGGACTCCATTGAAATGTAGAACATAAATTCACGTTCCCCTTACAGTTTGCCATAATAACCTTGATGATTGTATGACTTTTCATCTATCCCCATCTGTAGGCCAACATTTTAATTTGTCCTGTAAATCATTCATGACAAATTAGTGAATGATATTCATAAAACTGTACTTTATGTTGAATTTTATTTAGCAAATAGGCTGAACAGAGATGGGGAACATGGTGAACCTGTCAAACATTAACATAGCATAGCATGGCATTATCACTGAAAGCATGTTGTTATTAATGACTAGCTGAAAGTATGGCTGTGGTGTGCAGCCCAGAGGAGTTGTTTGCTTTCTGTAGAGCATTAGTTTTATTTGAACATCTCAAAGGTCACTTTAAAAACCAGCTCACTTTATAAGTTTATAAGGTGACAAAACCAAATGCAAAGTAATTATAAGGATATGCATACCAATGCATTTACAGCATGCCTTCAGACTAATTTCCTTTTCTATTCTGTCTTTTAATCTTGGTGAAACAAGCTGCAAGCATTTGATCAACAGAACATCACTGCCTTGATGAAAACGATTGAACTATAAGATTGAAAGACTTCGCCGAATATGCAAAAGTCTGAAGCCATCTGTTTTCTTTTTGAGCAAGGGTCCTTGTTATTACCTTGAACCTGTTGTTTGCATCATATTTTAAGTTTTCGTCTTGTAAAACAATCTGAGTTATACTCAAATAATAAATGAAAATCTAATAGAAGACAGTAGTATTTCTACAGCAGGCATATAAGGTCATCATTTTTAAGAGTAAAAGTCATACATTAATTGGTAGCCAAAGTTATCAGTCCCCTGCCCCTGAAACACATCCTGAAAGTTAAAACAGTCCAACAAATTGAAATAGGGCAATAATGATGTCAGAGGAAGAAGGTCAAACCCCTTAGAAACTCAACAACATGTCAAACTGCTGTGGCTCCACTCAACGAGCAATGGCAGTTTCTGACTGTATTAGTTCACGGCCCATTTAACTTTGTGAATGCTTCCTCCAAAGTATTCATGAAATGCCATGTCAGCATTTAAAGTTACAGTGTCAGAGCTATAATGTGATCTCTTGGGTGGAAGCTTTTTTTCTCCCTTGAAGTCTGGATATGCAGAAAGAGACAGCGAAGCAGAGAGAGGAGAGTTTTAGATGTATTGATACATTTTTAAAATCCCTGTCACCCTTCTTTTTTTTAATCATCCTCCCTTTCCATTTCATCTTTGCTTCAATCCTTAATGCCCAGGACTACAAGAATTCTAAATGTAGTTTTAGTTTTCCAAAGCACACGATGCATGGTCGACAGACTACTGAGGCCTCTGAGGCATTGAGCTACCTTCTAATGATGATAATCGGCTGAGTACAATAAGGTTTGGTCATAGTGTGAGGGATTAACAAGGCTGTACAGTTGTAGGTGTGGGTGTGCCACACCTACTATTCCTGTCCCATAGTCGGTGAAAATCCACCACAAGGTCACTATGGAGGCTGTGTCCCAGGCCAGTGGTGAACAGGATTATACTCTGGTACCAGCCAGTATCCATAATCTTGAATTAATCCTGACAGGTGAATGTTTGTACACTTACTATGGCCTTGTAGGTAAGGGAGACCAAAATCAGAGCGGTGAGAGAGTCTGAATAGGGGAATTTTATCTTTAAGAACCGAATAGCTCAGCTATGAGAACACATGAAATGGTTGATTTATTTTATAATGCAGCAGAGTCAATAAGGCACCAATGCACTGTTAAAAAGGGTTGTGGTAAGTGTTATGTTACCTCATTAGCTCTTATTGGCAAGCACTGAGGTCATGGGGAAAGCCAATCCCACTTCCTGTTTTACATAAATGCAACGGGAATCTAATCAAGAGTGCTGCTTCTTCAACACATTTCTGATACACACTCATCTACAATCAAATTCCAAACCACATGAATAATACACATCCATACACAAATACATGCATTCACTCCCAGCTTACTAGTAAGCCTCAAGCCTCCCTTCCCCACTAGTCAGGAGGCAGGAGACTGAATACATAATATAATATCATACAGAAGAGACAGCTATCCTATCCTGGAAAAGGTGTATGCAAAGTGGGTGCTCACTGGGCCATGACCAACTGCAAAGCCACGAAGCTAGCCTAGTTTTCAAACTGCTTTCACTGGACAAGGTTATTTCATGCCTGATCAAAGGAAAGATGGACAGGGAATGAGGGCTTCAATAAACCCACAGCAGGAGGTCTCTCAGAGAAGTGGTGTCATAACAGGAATATGAGTTTCACAATTATGTGTTGGGTGGCAAGATTAAGTTTGTATTAAACTGTGAATTTTGGAGGAATAAATTGATATTGATTTTCAAACAATAATTTGCCACAGTTGCATAAAATGTAGTCGTTTTTTGTGCAGCCTGACCAATTGTGTCAGTCAATTAAAAAAGTGCAATATCAAACTGAGCAATACATCATGTAAACGTCTCTAATAATCAGTGAATCACAGAGGTTTAGTGTTTTGTGAAAGGGAAGTAAGACAGCAGGGGGGCAGCTGCTAGAGAGTCAGGAAACAACTAGAGTAAGGCGCAGGGATGGCTGGTATAAAAAGGCAAGCAGGTCTATGCCCTCCCTTACAATAAAAATTAGAAAACCTATCTTCAAGTAACTTACTATGGTTTTTTCAAATCAAGTGGAACATAAAATACAAATGGAACCTAAATGTTACAATAAAAACACACACTATCTTTAAACGTGCTTATTTCTATACAGCCCATGATAGCATCCTCTTTCATTCACCCATAGAGTAGATCAGTGACAGGGATCATGGCATGCCCCCTTGATTTGTTGATTATTTGGACTAAATTAAGTCAGCCTACATGCCAGTGACTTTTGATCAATGACATACCTGTAGCCTTACAGATAGAGATGCTAAGAAACTAACTGTACAAATCTACTTAAGACACAATCTGTTTAACTCAATTCCAAAGTGTTGAGTTATTGTTATTGTAGCCGCCACTGGTAGGAGTATATCAAATTACATAACACAAAACTGGCAATTACAGAGAACAGACAATGGACAGACTATGGACAAAATGGCATTGTAGTCAACAGAAGAAATCTAGTCATCTCGTTTTTGGGCTTTCCCTTTCGTCCAGCTGTGTGAAATGTTGATTCATTTCAGGTCGCTCCTCATCATTAATGGATTTGTCCTTTTCATTATTCATGAGCTGAATCAATGGAGGGATTATGTCACGCTGTGACTCACTCACTTTATTTTCTGTGAGTACAAGGTGGCATCTCTAATCCTCTTATTGTACTACTCCTGTGATTTGCCAATAAATATTTTCTGGCCGTGTGTGCTGACAGCTGACCTCCCGCCTACAGAGTCTGCTGCAGTTCTCTCTGTGGGATACTCTGTCAGTATTTTTGTTCTTAATAGAGTTCAATGGGAAAGATGGATGGGTATTGCTCTGCCAGAAAACAAAGTGGAAAATCCTTTTTTTCACCAAAAAAACATGGTAGACGCCATTTTCAGCTATAAACACTTCCTCCCCTGGATTACAATAATTGGTGGAAAGTTCCATTTAGGGACTAGTGACAGTGCAGGAGCATTACTCTACCTGCTGCCCTCTTCTAATAATAATAAACCCCTAAATATGCTTTCTATCCATTTTGATTTCCTGTTTTAAGTATTTTGTTAGGTTTAGTAATCCTTGGGAACTATGTTTAGCTATAGCTATGTGCAAATTCAGAGTATTTAGAGGGTTTATATGTCAGTTTTTAAACTCAAAATGGAGACTACTTCTGTCAGACAGGAGAGAGGGCAGGGGGTCTCCTGAGGTAAAAACTTTGATAGGAACTCCAGCAGAGTTTTTAATTTTTTTTAAACATCCTAAGTGTGTTACTTATAAAGTCTGGGCTAGTCCGAGTAGTTCAACTGAATCACACTATCATTAACAGAGTGGAGAACAACATACTGACAAACAGAAAACATAATGCAACACACTTTCTCTAAATGGAAGTTTACTTTCAATAGAATTTATATCATTTTACTTATTTTTTTAACCCTGACATTTTTTCCTCTGTTCAGAACAAGCAGTTGGAATATGTACGTTTTCTTAAATGAATAAATACATACAGAAATAAATAAATAAAGTAGCTCTTTATTAATGGTATATGGGTGGTAGCCAAAAAGACAAACCTATTCTTTTGTCTGCCTGAAATACACAAAACTAAATAAAAAATATTGATTGAATTGTTAGTAATGTAGTTAGTAATGAAGAACAGGTAACACTCTACAATAAGTTAAAGGTTACTTTAAAGGTTACTTAGGTACTTAGTGGTTACCTAGTGGTTACATAGTGGTTGCTTAGTGGTTACTTAGTGGTTACCTAGTGGTTATTTGGTGGTTACCTAGTGGTAACTTAGTGGTTACTTAGTGGTTACTTATTGGTTACTTAGGTACTTAGTGGTTACTTAGTGGTTACTTGGTGGTTACCTAGTAGTTACTTAGTGGTTACTGAGTGGTTACCTAGTAGTTACTTAGTGGTTACTTAGTGGTTACTTGGTGGTTACTTGGTGGTTACCTAGTAGTTACTTAGTGGTTACTTAATGGTTACCTAGTGGTTACTTAATGGTTACCTAGTGGTTACTTAGTGGTTACTTAGGTACTTAGTGGTTACTTGGTGATTACTTGGTGGTTACCTAGTAGTTACTTA